TGTATAACGTGATTAATGTCATTGCTTTCACTAAATTGTATACATGATAAATCTTACACTAGCAAAAGTGGTGTGATATACATATTTATAATTACTTTAAAAAGCATATGTATATAATATCACATACATATGGGTTTTAAATTTTAGTTGAAAAATTCCATTATTTTAAATTTCATTTTCCCATAAATGTCAAATCCCTTGTGTGTGTGTGTGTGTGTGTGTGTGTGTGTGTGTGTGTGTTTACAACAGTAAAACATTACTATCTCTGTCCTGTAATAGGATGCCCAAGGAAATTTTAAAACCAGAAAAAAAAAGACTATGTATGTTGGTTGAAACATAGAAATAAATATTAGAGGGAAAAAACACCTGAAAACATAGCTGTCTTCGGGAAGCAGCAATCTTGATTGGTGAGAGCAGAGCGGAAGGCTGTTGTTCTTGTTATTAAATCTTGTCTTTTATTTTGTTGAATTTGTTAAGCTCTGTGTGTGTGTGTGTGATTTAGATTTTAAAATATGTTGTAAGAAGAATGAAGGACATTAAGAAGTCTACAAAAATCGAGTATCCCTTGGGTAGCATTAGTTACCTTGGTGAATTCATCACCATCCTGGATCCAGACATCAGAGCGTAAACCAGAGTTGTTAGCCGTAAGAGCTGCAAGATCTCTATGGAGCAGACACACATTAACCAGGCTCATGAGACTGATATTTCAAATCAGATGCCAATTCAGTAATTCATAAGGGGAAGCAGGGCTTTGAAACAGACTGGATCTTGCCATTCACCAGTGAGTGCATTCAGTCCCTGCAGGCAGATGGACAGCCGGGACAGAATGGCTTTCAGTAGGCTATGTGGTGAACCCGGACGTGGGCAAGGTGGGGAGTGGAGTCAATGGGGTGGCTCCAATGAATGATGCCTCCCTTCCCCCATGTTGCTAGGCCAGCAACTGTCTCCTGCTGGTGAGTACTCAGACAACTCTCCTTGGTCTCTGCTTACTTGGCCGCCCAAGCCCATCCTAACTGGTGCCCCCTTTATTTAGCTGTATTAATGCCTTTAATCAAACTCTCATCCAAACTGAACCTGAGAGTTTTTCTATGCCCATCAAGTAGGGTGGCAAGTCTCCACTTTAAACCACTAGAGAATTGCGTTCAATCAAACAGATAACACATTTACAAAGCACCCATTATGTTCCAGGCTCAGTTCTAAGGCCTGAGGTTACAGCACTGAACAAGACTGACATTTATCCCTTCTCTCACGGAGCTTAAAATCAGAAGGCAGACATTAAGCAAACCATTTAAATAACTGAAAATGTGCAAAATAAAGAGCACCCTCAAAAGACAATGTGATTTCCCTTTTTCTAGCTTTGGAGATAGGGAGAGCACTTCCGAATTGCTCTAAGGCAGTGGTTCTCAACCTGTGGGTAGCGACCCCTTTGGGGGTCAAATGACCCTCTCACAGGGGTCGCCAGATTCATAACAGTAGCAAAATTACAGTGATGAAGTAGCAACGAAAATAATTTTATGGTGGAAGGATCACCACAACATGAAGAACTATTAAAGGGTCACGGCATTAGGAAGGTTGAGAATCACTGCTCTGAGGTTTCACCTACAATAAAACTAAGGATGTGGGGAGTGCTGCACAAGGACTCTAGTCTAGAAGAGGAAGAAACCCCATGTTCCAAGCATAGATTCCCAGTCTCTTGTTAGATATCTCCAAATTATTTCAATAAAATTATTTTTCTGCTTAAATTTCTCTAGGGTTAGTTTCTGCCATTTGTCACCAAGATCCTTGCCAGCAACCATTTCAGACATCTGTGAACCAAAGACTCAATCACCAACAGGCGGTTCCAATTTCTCTGCCTCTGGGCTAAGACCAAAACTGCAGCTTTTCTAATCTGTGACTGGGGTTTAGCACAGAGCAGGAGCCGCAGGCTGTCTCAATAAAATCTGATTGCCCAAATCACTCAGCTAACAGATATTTGCCAGAAGCTATTCTAGGTGCTGAGGATACAAAGCAAGGAAGAACTAGTTCCTGTCTTTAAGAATATGGGCCTGAGACTCAACATTGAAAAAGTCAAGAGCATGAGTTCCCCTGCCTGCTCTCCCCACTGATGTATCAACTTATATCTTGTGTCTATGCTCCAGCTACATTGAACTGCTTGCACTATTCCCTTCCCACGGATGGAATACCCATAGTGAGTGGTCTGGCGTTCACAGAGCATAGGAGTGGAGGGAAGGGAACAGCAGGAAATCAAGCTAGATAGACAGAAGCCAGACCTTAAATGCCAAGTGAAACCTTCTGGATGTTTTGACTTCTGTCTCAAATATCTTTGGATCTATATAGCTCAGACTATCAGTGTGGTTTCATAGCTGTTCCTCTTTTACTCAAGGTAGTTTGTATAGAAGATAACTACAGTACAGTGAATTACTTAATATTGCTGTTCTAGCCATAGCCTTTGTTATTCTCACCAAACAAGCTTTGTTTTCCTGCTGGGTCTGGGTAAGAAGGTGGGGAAGATACTGATTGGATTGTGTGAGTGAATGTTAACAAGCTTCATTGTGATTGCCTTCCTGCTAAGTATAAAATAAGCCATCTCAGAAGCACGCAGGGGGGAGTTTCAGGAGTGGAGTGGAACCCCGAGATCCCCGTGCATTGAACCCATTTGAGCCAGGAGACAGCTTTGGCATCCGTGGAGTGGCAGAGGAACAGCAACAGCAGAGTTAAGAGGCAGAGCATGAGACAGAGCAGTGGACTTCCTAGCCCAAAGATAAGGTGACCAGATGTCCCGCTTTTGGCAAGCCAGTCCCAATTTTTAACAATTTTTCCTGCATCCCGTGGTGTTTTTAAAAAGTCCTAATTTTTGGAGAGAATGCCTGACAAGCTAGGGTATACGGTTTTCGGCTGCCATGTGGCTATTTCACCAGGATATGAGTTTTATCAATGGTGTCCTGCTTGACCAATGTTAAAATCTGGTCACCTTACCAAAGAGCAAATAAAACTCAGTGCTTTGGAGCAGGAGGTAGCCTTACGTAGTGGGATGGATACCTCTGGGCACTTCAGTGTAAGAGATAAATTGGCTGACCCACAGAGCTTGAGCAGAGTGATTGAGGTTTACAGAAGGATAGCTTGCCCTTTGGGCATTTATTGGCAGCCCTAAAAGATCTTTGTAGCACTGCTATAGTAGGGCAGAGGCCAGGCCAAGTGGCTGAGGGAATAACCAAGAAGAAAGTGTCCTGACTGGACAACTGTATCCTGAGTATTTTTCATCTTAATTGTAACCTATTAACTTCCCTAATAAACCCCGTAATCATGAATATTGTCTGTGAGTTCTGTGTGGCCATTGCAATGAATTATAGAACCCAGCCACAGAAGTAGAGTGAATGGAGTGAAAAAGCATGGAGTGTGGGGTCATGTCTGATCTCTGCCTTGTGGCAATCAGCCTTGGAAGCCAGAGGAGGCTTAATGTGGATTCCATGCCATTTTCACAATCGGTGTCAGAAGTGGGATTCAGTGCAACGACTCTAGATTCATTGGACGCATGGGGCTTTGTAAAGAGGAAGAGCAATGGGGTATGGGAAGTAAAACTGTTGATTCTTAGATGGTTACTTTGATTATTATTACCGGTAACTATTTAAAGGGTAGTAAAAGATATGCTGCAGCTGGAGGAGGAAAAGCTGCTTTTGGAATGGCCTGGGGCAAAATTCAGGTTGACTAATAAAAATGATTGATAGGGGACCAAGAGGTCCCTGTGGATTGGACCACCTTTATCCAGGAAACAGCTTTGGCAACATAATAGTGGCAGAAGGGCAGTAACAGCAGAACCAGAAACCAGAGTGGTAGACTTTCTAGTCCACAGAGCAAGTAAAGCTAAGGGCTTTGTGGAAGGAGACTGGCTTGTGGAATGGGGTACTTCTGGGCACTTAATTAAGAAAGATGGTTTTGCTGACCCACAGAGGTGGAGTTGAGTGCTTTGGGTTGAGGCCATGATGCCATTTTCACAATGACACATGGGGCTTATATTGTATTATTATTATCCTGGCCTGAAATACAGAACCAGCAATATTCCCATTTTATAGATAGGCAAAGAGAGGCTTCAAATGACTAAGCTCCATAGTTAGCAAATTGTAAAGCAAGGACTTGAATGCAGTTTCCAAAATCCAAATCTCTATCTCCTTTCCACCAAGGATAGAATGCTTTTGTGTGAGCTTGGGAGGGCAGGGATTTCAGCCTAGACCTGTCTTATGGGAACAGTTACCCTTCTTCACTTGCCTCTTCTCCTGGCCCATCCCCTTTCCTGGATGCTCTTAGATTCTAACAACGTACGTGCCACCATCCTTTAATTTTATGGATGAAACTCAGGTTCAGAAGATTAAGTTTCAGGATCCAAAGCCAAGAACTGTCACCACGCTGCTCCACTGCAGTTCAGGCTTGGGCCACAGAACTAGACTGATGATGAAGTGGATACTGAGGGCCGCCAGATGGCGCTGGTGGTGGCTTGACGCACCTGAACGGATAGGGGCGCACCGGGGGAAGCTGGCTCGCGACGCGGTGGATCGCGGAGCAGCTTTATTCCTCCGTCCAGACAGGCTGGGGCGCCTCCACCAGGCGACCACCAGGTTGCATTAGCTAGTCTCGGGCTTTGCGCTGCCTAGAGAGCAATTCCTTGAGGGTAGCAGAGGGATAGCGTGGAGCCAGCAAACCAAGGGGGACCAAAAGGGGTGGGGCCGGGACTCTGCCACCCCCACCTGTCGGCTGCAAGGAGAAGGCGGACCAAAGGGCGGGCCTTCTCGGGTAGGACCCGCCTCCTGTCCCCGAGCCCGATTCTCGACCACATATAAGGCAGCCTGGAAACAATGCTCTCGCAGCTCACGCTCCTTCTTCAATCCCTGGAGCGCCCGAGCTGCTCGCCCTGCTGCGCACGAGCAAAGGCGAGTGTGCGCGCTTGGGACGCGCGCTCCTGAGTGCGGGGCAGTGGCGCGCATGTGCGGGTCTGCTGACTGCCCGGCTGTCCCAAGCTGGCGAGGAACCGGGGCGCACTCAGTGGTTGGCGGCCCGAGTGAGGTGAGGCTGCGGACCGCCCAGGGACGGGTCTGGGGTGGACGGTAGGCTACCTTCGGGATACCGGGCCGGCCGGCCGGGGTAGCTGCGCGCCGGGGTGAGGGGTGGGGGCCGCGGGGGGCGTGCTGGCAAAGTTTGCTTTGAACTCGATCCCTGCAGCCTGGTCCGTGCACATTGAGCGACTTCACTGGCCGGGCTGACCCGGGGTCTCGCTTCCCGGCACGCCCGGGCCGGGCCCAGGCTACCAGCTGGTGGGGCTGGGGTGGGACCCGCGGGAGCCCGGAACCCGAGCCGGCTGTGTGGCGGCACCCAGGGGCGCCTCTCTCGCCAAGCCCCCAGCCCCCCAGCCCGCACCCGGGTTACCACGTCCCCTCTTCCCTCCCGCAGCAAGAAGACATGGACTTCGACTCGTACCAACACTATTTCTACGACTACGACTGCGGCGAGGATTTCTACCGCTCCACGGCGCCCAGCGAGGACATCTGGAAGAAATTCGAGCTGGTGCCGTCGCCCCCCACGTCGCCGCCCTGGGGCTTGGGTCCCGGCGCCGGGGACCCGGCCCTTGGGATTGGTTCCCTAGATCCGTGGCCCGGAGGGGGAACTGGAGATGAGGCAGAATCGCGGGGCCACTCGAAAGGTTGGGGCAGAAACTATGCCTCCATCATCCGCCGTGACTGCATGTGGAGCGGCTTCTCAGCCCGGGAACGCCTGGAGAGAGCGGTGAGCGACCGGCTAGCCGCTAGCGCATCCCGGGGGAACCCACCCAAGGCTCCTACCGCCCCAGACAGCGCTCCCAGCCTGGAAGTCAGCAACCCAGCGCCTGCCCCACCGTGTGCGCTGAGTGAGCCCAAGCCCCAAGTCTGCTCCGGGTCTGAGAGCCCTAGTGACTCAGGTAAGTATCGCCAAGAGGTGGGCATCCCATGGGTAGCCAAAGTTCAACCGATAACTGGGGTCAAGCACTGGCGTTTGGCAAGCCCTTCACCCACCTCCTTTCTCTGGCTGAAGCAACCGGCCAGCCGGTAGCCCCCAGCAGTGTCTGGGTGGCACGTGGGTGTGTTGGTAAACAGCTTGGAGAAGTGGCATGGGAGCCTGCCTGTTTTTAATGAAGGTTGGAGCCCCGTAAGCAAGGGCCAGAGGCTTGGGACTTGCAGCGGACTATACTGTGGTTGGACTGGAGGAGATGTCAGTCCTTGGGAAGCCGGAAGGGGTCCCTTAAGGGTCACCAGAGCCTGGAAGCATTGGTGTTGTTTCTGCTTTCTCTGCGAAATTCACTCTCCCCTACTGAAGGAGGAAGCTGAGGAACCTTTTGTGCAAAGCTGAGACCTTCATCCTTTAAAAATAGCCCACTTTAATATGTCAGTAATGCCATTCTATTGTACCTCCCACCTCTGACCACGGTGCTTCCCCACTAGAGGATGGGAGCCTGGGGAGGAATGACTGCTCCTCATGATGGGAAAACTAAGGCTTAGAGACAGGAATCACTAGAAGTGAAGCCCAAAAAGAATGCTAGACAGCATTCTTTTCCCCACCCTCCATCCCAACCAGGCAGGTGACTATAAGACTCTTCCCTACTTCTTCCCTGTGCCTTGTCTTGTTGGTTTAGCCTGTCATGAAAAGGTGTCCCGGCTGGTTCTGCACTCCTCTTGGGACTCCAGTTGCTCTCTAGCCTTCAACAACTGTTCATTGATTCCTACCTGGTGCCATGCGCTGAGTTCTAGGTACTGAGGCCAGAGCCTTGCAGCCCCTGTACTCACAGCATGTGCATACCTGGCTGAGGTCTCCCTGGGCAGCAACAGCATCCTGAGCACCAGGCTGCCGTGTCCAAAGCCCAGCCTCTTAGACCCACCGGAAAGGATGCTTTTCTGTAAGGTGCAAACGGAGGTGCTGACATCAGGCAAATCGGGACTGAGAAAACTCACCGGAGCTTTTAATAACTTTGAAATGACCATTTGAGAGAGGTCTGAGGAATGGGTATGGGAGCTGTCACACAGTTGGGGGGAAAATAAGGAAAACCAGAAAAACTACCTACCTATATTCTTCTTTTGGTCCACTGTATGGTTTTTAACCTGCCTGCTTCCTATACCAAAAAATGTGTGTTTGCCTAATGGTTTGAATGAGAATACTTGAGATGAAGAATTCAATAAAACGGCTTCTCTGCCAAGGTTGGTGGAGTTTACAGATTGTAGTTTGAGATCTAGAACATTGCGGAAGTCATGCTTGGACTTGGCTAATCCCGCTCTCTCTCTTGCTTTCTGGGCCTCAGTTTCTCCCTTTGTCTAAGAGAGGGCTGGGCTGGATTGCCCTGCCAAAGTTATTTCCTTGTCTGGGCAGAGAAGAGTTAAGATACTGCTCTGAGAAGGAGAATGGTGTATAAAATGATTTCTTCCTCAGCCATAGGTTTACCACTGAAATATCTAAAGGTCCGGGTGTAGGGAAACCTCCTGAATCATTTTCTGACCTGCCCTTTAACCTGAACCTGTTTGCTGGCTCCTGGTTCACTCACAGGCCACATGGCCTAGAACAAAATGCAACAGATTGCAAACAATGAGGGGGGTGGGGAGAGTGACTGACGGCAGAGTTCAGCCAATAGGGACTAGGGGCTGGTTGAAACAGCATTCCAAACACAGCTTGGCCAGCCAATCGTAGGCTTTGGGGCCAGGAGGGCTGAATGGTCAGGTTTTATTAATGGAGAAATAATGCGATTGTCCACACAATGGAAGCCATCCTGACAAAGGCGCTCTAGCATCCTGATATGCAAAAAAGTGTGAGAACTGAGCTCTTCTGTTGTCCAGGGCCGAAAGGCTTCAAGGTGGCTTTCTGTGGAGCCTGCAGAATGTGTGGTGCAGGAAGCCTTCTCCAATTGCCCCTCTCCTGTTGAGGGTAACCTCAAGGCCCCTTGGGCCAGGAAATGGTGGGGGCAGGTCCAGGTAGTTTCCAGGACCCTGGTGTTTTGGTCCTTGTAGCGGGACATTGTCCTGCTGCTCCGTTTCACCTCGGGCCCAGGTAGTTTAGGAATGGTCTCTTTTACCTTTGTGTGCTGATCCTATAAGTTCCATAGACCTGTGATTGCCAATCACTTCTGGTCCAGGGAGGGGGGTGGGGTGGTCGACCTATAAATGATGGATGACTTTAGAAACCCATTGAACCCAGGAGCAAAATGCTCCTAAGGGAAGCCCTGGCCCTCCCCTCTGTGGGTGAGCAGGAATGGGCTGTGTGGCCCTCTCTTTGCTGGATCTTCAGCTGAAAGGGATGGCAGAATAGAGAGGTGGGGGAATAATAGGATTTATAACTTGTGAAAAGTAACAATTCCCAAGTGCAGGCTGTGCTGGGCAGGAACAAAGGGCAGCTCTGCCCACAGACCCTTCATTTACAATTCTGATGGGGCATGAAAGCGCCCGACTGGGGAAGATCTTTATAGCTAAACTTTGTCCCAGGCCGGTAGCTCTTTCTCTCCATCCCCTCAGTGGGGGAGGGTAGATCCTGTGCAGACTGGGGGCTGTTGGCTTGGGTCTGCCTTTTGTTCTTATCTAAGCCTGGCAGTGCAAAAGGAAATTAGAGAATACTTTCCTTCTTGCTTATTTCCCTTCCTTTCCTCTACGCCGCTCTTACCCGATAGCCAATGAACCAGCCAGCCTTCTCGCACTTCAATTTGTTTTTATCTAAAAGGTGGGGTGGGGGTGGGGGAGGCGGGGGAGGCACACCTACCTTCCCAAGCCCCAGCAGAGAGAGCCCCAACTGTCGGTGTCTGTCTGTGTGCGTGTTTCTCACGGATGTGTGCCTTCTCTTGCTCTGTTTTCTTGATCAGAAGGAGAAGAAATCGACGTTGTGACCGTGGAGAAGAGACAGTCGCTCGGTGTGCGGAAGCCAGTTACCATCACGGTGCGAGCAGACCCTCTGGACCCGTGCATGAAGCACTTCCACATCGCCATCCATCAGCAGCAACACAACTACGCTGCCCGCTGCCCTCCAGAAAGCGGCTCCCAGGAAGAGGCTCCCGAGAATGCACCCCAAGAAGAGGCGCTGGAGGAAAATGTTCCCGAGGAAAAGGAAGAGGAGGAAGAAGAGAATGTGAGCCCGCCACCTGCAGGAAGGCAGGCTTCCCGGGCCTGCCACCCCAAGTCAGGCACCTCGGAAACTGAGGATCTGACCAAGAGGAGGAACCACAACTTCCTGGAGCGCAAAAGGCGGAATGACCTCCGTTCCCGGTTCTTGGCCCTGAGGGACCAGGTGCCCGCCCTCGCCAGCTGCTCCAAGGCCCCCAAAGTCGTGATCCTGAGCAAGGCCTTGGAATACTTGCAGACTCTGGTGGGTGCGGAGAAGCGGATGGTCACCGAGAAACGGCAGCTCCGAAGCCAGCAGCAGCAACTGCAGCGAAGAATCGCGTACCTCAGCGGCTACTAACCGACCAAAAAAAATGCCCAACTGCTCAGTCTTATGAAAACACAACTTTATTCTGTATCCTTCTGACTCCCTCCTTCCTGCCGCCCACCCACCTCCCCCCCCCACTTAGTAATTTGCACATTTTGTTTATGGTGGGACAGTCTGGACAATAGATCCCAGAATGCATTGCGGCCAGTGCACACAATAAGGGCTTGCATTCTTGGAAACCTTGAAACCTAGCTCGCGTCCACTGACTGGTTGGAATGCTGTGGCGCCTTTGGCGTCTCAGGCAGGCAGCTGACTGTGTGGAGCCTTGGGGTCTGCCTAGCTGACTAGCTCCGAGAAAAAGAAGAAAAAAAAGCCTGACAGATGCTATGCAACAGGTGGTGGACGTTGGGGGGGGG